CGGAGAGCGATACGCCGGGAAGGAGAGGGTGGTACTTCCTGTAATCGCAATTACACGTCGCTCGCTCGGTCAACTACGGGACGGATCCTGCCGACGCACGTGGAGTTCCACGGGGAGCTCCGCGTCGAGCTGCGAGTCAAGTTGCAAAATGCAAAATCAAGTTGCAGGTAAACCCGCGAGTAAAAAGACAGGGACGTTAAACGGTCGATTCGAGTGCTCGAAGTCGCCGCAGTCGATCATAAAGCCAGAAAAGTGGAACGGACGATACGCGAACTTGGCAGCGGCGTTTGAGCCCCTTTGCGTGCGAAATGCCACCCGAAGAAAGGGCGTGGTCCGTCTCTCCGGTAAGCAGGTGCATTTTATCGGTGCGGGGGAGGAAATGGAAGAGCCAGAGGAGGAAGAAGTGCGCAGAGGGGGGGTAATATTACGAAAGCCCCTGGCTCTTTCAGCTCTCCACCGGCAATCCGGGTATTAAGAGCGCAGTCACGCCTGGCTTTCTTTTTCCTCCTCTTTTTCCGCTCCTCCTTCGCTCTTTTTATCATCGAGCGAAACAGGTGACAAAAGGGGGACACTTCGTAGCGAGGCGCCGAGTGGTCGTGGGTGTACCTGCGAAAAATCCCCGGAAAACAATGCTCGAAACGTGTCCCCGGCGTTTGCGCTCCCCTCCTTTTTTTCCCTCCCTCTCGTTTCCCGTCCTCCCTTTTCCTCCTCGGGGACGGATAATTTTCATCGACGACCGGAGACGAACTTCTCGTCCAGCGATGATCCCCCAAAAATCGGGACAATCGTCCTCGATGTCACTTTCTCTTGAGAAGAGTTCCCTTTCTCGTTTCGTCTTCCTCGCACCTGTTTTCTCGCGACGCGTGAACGATTATCTTTATAGGATTTTTTTTTATCCGTATAAAAACGCGCCATCTCCTCGCGTTTCTTTCCCTCTCTTAGCCTCGACCCGGATTCCTCCGAATTCCTTCGTATTCCTGTAAAACGTGGACAAACATCTTTCCGGGATCTCTCATCTGGGACGAGAGGAAAGGAGGGTGTCACCTCCGGAAACACTTGCCGACGAGGTTGCACCCCCCGACAGGTGCGTTTCATCGACGTCGAGGGGTGGCAATCTCGCGAGAGCCCCCTCTCTTTTCACGGGATCCCACCCGGAGATCTAGACATCGCCGGCGCAGTCACGCCCGGCTCTTATCGTCTTATCATCGGATGAAACAGGTGACAATAATCGCCCCGTCGAGGGATTTCCGTGTGATTGCAGCAGAAGCACCTGCAAGGTGTCCCACCTGCCGTAGCGAGGAACAGGTGTAATTCGCCCTCCCTTCGCAAACATACCCCCCTCAAACCCTTCTCCTCCTGATAAAACATTAACATTTTATTAACATAATCTCGTGATTTTATAATCCGCGTTTCACCCTGCGGAAAAGTTCCAGCCGGGTCTCCAGAATTTTCCGTTTTCCTAATTTCCCTCCCTTGTTCAAACAAGGGTATCAATTTTCTGCCGCGGAGTAGAGCAAAGAACGAGATAGGCTCCTCCTCGCGATGGAAGTCAACTCGACGTGTATTTCTTCGATTATGGTCGCACACTTCACGTGTTTTTCGATTACCGATCTCCCCGTACTCCTCGTGGAGGGAACTGATAGGTACACGTCCCAGGTCGAAGGGGCTCTTCTCTGGAAACGGAAACGGTGGACTAATGCCTACATGTGTATCGTACGTACGTTCATTCGATTGCTCGTATAAATGTTTCGGCCGAGTAGGATCGTTATCGTTCGAACTGATTGCAGCGCCGGCGTACGAATAATTCACTCGAGCACTGAATATTTATTTACCCAGCATCCTCGGGCCAGGTGAAATCGATCGCGGTACCCTTTTTTTTTTCCCCCCTTTTGTTCGCCGCGTACCGCGGGTGTATGCAAATGTAATTCGAGCGCCCCCTCTTCTATCGCGATAAAAAGTGAAACCAGGAAAGCAGGGGCTAAATCAAACCCCGCTCAGCGAGGAACAAGCAACGGACATTATTTAAGGCAGTCTCGATATCGGCGTTATCCACCTCTGGAATCTCCACGACGCCTTGTTACGCCTCGATAAAACGAAAACGAGCGAATTAACGTTCCGTTAGGCTGCATTAAGAGTCGATCCTCGTTCAAATAACCCGGGGGAAAAAAAAAGAAAAAAGAAGTGGAGAAAACACGGATTTTTGGAAAATCCATTCGGTCCGTTTCTCATAAAACGAAGGGCACCAGTCGGGGACAAAAGGAGGTCCGAACTGATTCGACGTGAGAATATAAAATCCCTCAAAACTCCGGGAAGAATGGAACTAGAGGCGCCCCCGGATCCCATCCTTTCCCGCTTCAACAAATCTTTAGTCTGATTTATTAAAGCCAGGGTGCGGGAACACCGGGAGAAATTTCTCTCCGAGAGGCGATAAGAAGAAGGAGGGCGGGAAAAAAACGGGGGAGAAAGAAGAACCGCGAGACGTCAGGCCTGAACTCTGAAAGTCGCCTCGGGAAAAGTCCACCTTTTTGGCGAGACCGACCGACGACGAATCGCCTAACCACCATCCCTAGGTTTTTAAAGTCCCTAGTGACGCCCTAGTTCCTTGAATTTCGCGCCTTTATAGGTACCGCTCATGACTTTCGTGGTCCGAAACTGGAACAGTACTTTTTCCTAATTAATGATCGACAAGACCGTGAATTTGGATTACTCTCTGGTCGTGAAAAAAAAAAATATATATATATAAAAGATAGATAAGCGACTCGTAAGTCCAGTACGGGCTAACGCGGTCCTTTTTGCGGGGCTCGATTGCTCGGCGAGTTCCACTTTTCCTCGAATTTCTTGTCCCCCCTCACCCCAGGGGTATGCCTTAAAAAAATAACGACATATCTTGCATCATCCTAAAAGTATACGGTGCATGCACTTTCGCGTACCGAGATGCTGCCCCTCCCCCCCGACATTTGATGCTCTTACACGGTTTTATGCGGCCCGCGGTTTTACGATCTTCATGGATTCAGGGCCACGAAAGCGTGGCATACACGACCACGTAAACGTTCATGTCGGATCGCAGAAGGTGTTCCCGGAATGCCAATACGAAGTCGGCGTCCTCGGATCGAGCCACCGAGTTTTGCGAAAATTGGCGGGCCGCGACGTTTCCGCGATACACCCGGGAAGCGATAAGCGGCTGATAAGGGCCGCGAAAACGTAGAGATAAGCGATTGCGCAAACGCCAGCGAGCCGCGGGAAATAATTCGCGGTTCCTGGAGTTATGCGGAAATTACGCTCAGTAGAGCACGGGACGTGTCGAATACCTCCCACAGGCACGTAAGACCGACTTCGGAGGAAATACTCTCATTGTACATGGTGTAAGAATTTGCTAGACATTACAAAAGATAGAACTTGACAGAGGTGACGCGTCGCGATAATTCAGCTGTCAACGGACCGTCAATATTTAATAAAATCCACCCTCAATTGGTGAAGATAAAATTAATACACCCGAATAAAATCCCCGTAAAAACTGTTATAGAATTACCGTACTTTCTTTTACTTTTCTTTTTTTTTTTTGCAGTGCAGGAGGACTGACACCAGGAAACCGGTAAAGAAACGTGTACGAGGCGTGCCGAGTACTACAACTTTACATATATACGCATTAAAATACATCTTTTCCGCATTGAAGGCAATCTAACGATGACTCCTGTGTCCCGTTGTCCGATAAGCCACCGATACCAGTTGCGAAAACGCAACCGCGCGGACGGAATGACTCGCACGAGGAAGAGTGCTTATCTCTCGGGATTCACCGGCGACTTCAAACCGCGTTTCTTTTTTTTTTCCTCCCGAACCGCAATTTCGGTCTCCGGCATTTTTACAGCCGATTCCCGGTAATCGTCGGTCACGAGACCCTTCAAGATTGCACTTCTTGCACCGAGGAAAGAAGTACGTAACGTGCACGCGACCGCATCCGGCCTTCGCCTTTCCGCGCGGACAATTAGTAAGGGCCGATCGACGTGCAAAACGAGCGGAAGGACCGTCGGAAAGCGCCGAATCAAATTTTTCTTTTACCCCACGTGGGCAAAATTCCGCCGCAAAGCCGGAAATGCCTCTCGAGGTATTCGAACTCACAGTGTCAAAGGGTCGGAGAGAGACAGTCGCGAGGTTCCTCTCGAGGAGGGCGGATGACGCGTCGATGGCCGGCGGAAAATTCGCCAAAAATCGAGAGAGCTCTCCTCGCCTCGACGTCTCGTTTCCCCGCGTCCCGAAAGACCCCCGGACGCTCGGTGCTTGGTTTTCTTATTTCTCTCTTTTTCTGCGGGGTGTTCTAAATTTATCCGCAATCGCTCCGCACGCTTCGGCGAGATTGCATAACCCCCAAAACCCGGCGTGCTCGACTCGATCGTGCCCGACGCCGAGCATCCTCCATTCCTCGGAGATAGAGATGAGAAAAATCGGTCCAGGTCTCGCAAGACTTGGTTTTGGTCTATCAGATAGTGAAGCAAGACCTAGGTCATGTTCACCAGAACGGAGGGACAATTCTCGAATTTAGACGAATTTTTTTTTTTCGCATACGGATAGATGGACATGAAAAAAAGTCGCATAGTCCCGTCATTGGTTGACATTTGAAAATCCTACACGAAACTGAGAATTTCGCTCGCTAACGTTGACCGTATGAACTAGAGAATCGGATCCTTGCAGGAATACCTCTTGCAAACGTAACGGTAAGCATAACGGTATACACAACAGTAAGTAAAACAATAAAGCCCGGCCGATCGAAATCCCAGAAAATTCATCGTAGTGTCACCTTGACTGGGCAGTTCTCGCTGGTCACCGTTAAAATAGGTATCCGAGGAGGCCAATCTCCCCCTCGCCATGATCTTTCAGAAGACCATGACCGTCCGCGAGCAGGCCCCCTCGTCCCGAGGAATCCGTCCCCGAAAGGCCCGACTTCCTCGGGGCCACAATGGGACCGAGGTCCCGGGCTCCCCGTAACAACAACAGGAGGGGCTCACCTTGTCCAGGTACCTGAAGCCGTGATCCCTGGCGACCTGCATGGCGACCTGGGGGCCTCCCTCGATGTGGGCGGCCCACTGGTTGGTGTAGGCCCTGGCGGGGTCCTCCAGCGCGACGAGGGCCAGTATCAGGACGAAGGTCCACTTGGCGCACATGGTCGCACAGGTGTCTCCACCACCACCGTCACTGTCACCGTCACCCACGCGGGCACCTTTGCGACGGCCGGGAGACGACCGAGGGACCCGTCGTCCCCGAAGCCAGTGGCCCGCTTATCGCTCGACGCGAGGTAGGGATGGGCCGCCGGGAAGGTGGCGGGAAAGCCGACGCCCCCGCTTTCCGCGCGCCTCGGCGCACCCGGTAGACGGGCCCGAGGTGGGGGCGAGTCCGCCTTCTTCGGGTCCCGCTAGGACGAGGACCGGCGTCGGCGAGGCAGAAGACCTCCCTCGGCTGGTGCGCCGAAAGGACGCGGCTCGTCGCTAAGGACCGCGACCGGACTCGAGATGGTCGAGGACCCGGAAGTCGTCGCGACCCCGGGTCGAGATAGGCGAAAGAGGGCCCTCTAGGGTGGACGGGGGTCGGCCCGCCGACTTTGTCTCGATCTCTGGTCGAAGGTGTCGCAGGGACTTCGACGGTTGAGAAGGTAGAGAAGGCAGAGGAAGTATAGAGGCAACGAAGGTAAACTCCGGCGTGCCGGTCGGGCGACCGGAGAGGTCCGTCCCCCTGGAGCCCGAATCAGGCGAGTCGGCTCCCTCGGCCGAGAGGCGGAGTGGGGAGCAGAACCATCACTGGTCGCGCGGCTCCGACTTCGGCAACGGCCCCGGGACGGACGAGCGCTCCCGTGGACCCCGCGAGCCGACCAGCGTGGAACTGAATGGCTCGACGAAGCGCGTCACGCGACGCGTCAGCGACGGTGCCCGCCTAGAGTCGCCGGTGGGGGCCGGCCGGGGACGGATCGCGCCGGATGACGCGCGCGGGCTTTCCCGACCCGGCGGGTCGCGCGACGGACGCCGCGAGGAGATGCGACAGACCCGGGTCGTCCCCGTCGCGGCCGTCGTTCCACTCGGGAGCGGGCGGGAACGGCGCAGCGGTCCGCCTTCGCCGTCCGACTCTTGCCGGCAGCATAAAGTCCGTCGACCGTCGCCGGACACCCGGTAGAGCGGCACTCCCGTTACCTCGGGGACGTCGCGCCGGGTCGCGGGCACCCGGGAGCCAGGAGAGACCCGCGTCGAGACGCCGCCTCCGCGAAACCGGTCCGCGTTGGTCGAGACGTCTCCTCCGCCTCGGCCTCTGGCCGTGATCTTCGAGAAACGCGCCCAAGTTCTGCCCTCCGGAATCGCCGGATACGGAGACCGAGGCTCCGCGGTTGTTCGCTCTCCCTCTCCGTTTGTTCCAGGGCGGGACTTCGATCCAGGACCTCTCTCCCCGGCTCGTTTTCGGGGATTCTCACCGCGGTCGTTCCGTAGATCCGTCCTGGGCGACCATGAGCGCGTGGAGACGCGGTTTTTAGGTCCGGGAGTGGACCTTCCTTGCGGGCTCTTCTTGGGGCTCAGAGTCGCTCTCTCCCCGGCAGGACCCTGGAAGCCATCCCTTCTCGACCGCGCTCCATTTCTTCCGGCGAGCCTAGCCTTGTAATTTGGTAAGTACTCCGAGTCGCCGGAAGGTAAATACAGCGTCTCGACGGTGACGTGCCGGAGCTCGCCGATGGGGTCCCTCGTTGATCCCTCGCCGATCCTTTGCCGATCCCTCGATGAATTCCGGTGCTACCTGCGGCTCGGACCAGGTACTCGCGGAGCTGTCCCGCCCTCTAGAGGCTCGCGGGCGTCGTGGTCGATGGCGCACCTGGTCTGGTGTCGAGGCCGCCTCGCTGCCGGTGCCTCCGCCCCGCCGGGCACGGTGCCCCCGCCTCGCGGACGCGGTCCGGGCCGGCCATTTGCGACGGGTGTCCCGGCGAGCCGGGAGAATCGACGGGTCGAACCTGCCAGGATTTACGTCATCGACCGGTGCGCCTCCGAGGCGCTTCTCGCGCCCACGGCTGCGAGTTGCGGCGACGGACTCGACCGGATCCCTCTCCCGCGAGGACGACTCGGCTCCCTCTTCACGCCTGTCCCCCTGGCCGTGGACCCCGGCCCTCCGAGCTCCCGACCTGAAACAGCGACCGACTCGTCAGACATCGCCTCGACCACGGGGACTTCCACCGTCCTGAGAAGGAATAGCGGTATGCGTTGCCCCTACGCCTGTAAAATACCCACCGGTCTCTACAAGTGGTTCGACGTGCAACTACCGAAAAAAAAAAAAAAATCCATAACATTACAAATTGCATACTCTCCTTCTTTAGGTGTATGTATGTCGTATAGGGACCGGCGGCTACTTCATGACTACATGTTTCTCGGGGCAGGAGAAATTTCGACCTCGCTCTAAACGCGGGAGCTACTTATTCCGGCCAAAGAAATGTATCTAGGCAGTTAGCGTCGCAAGTGGCACCGTGACTTAAAATTTCATGAGAGTACTGCTTCCCTTTTTTTCATCTTTTTATAATCTCGAAAGCCTTGTTCCAAAGGAGTCTAAAATAGGAGTGATTTACGACGAGGCTTTCGGTGGGCGACGGTCGACTCGCGTTTTCGAGAGGTCGACGGGATCCCGGTTGGCGAGGAGTCGCCGATCCTGGGGGATCGGGAACCCGATCCACGGGATTCCCTCCCGGGACGTGTTCCTCCTCCCGGGGAGGCGTAAAACGGCGGAATCGTATCCCCGTCTCGTGCGAGTCGTCGATTCGAATCACGTGTGGGGCCAGGCCTCGTCGGCGCGCCGGCGAGGACGCACGTCGAGGAGTTTAGCCGCGGCGGAAGCGGGCGAGGCCCCTACGAGGAGTTCGCGCCTCGGCTCGATGCAACGGATCCTCGTCCGATCCCGCGGGAGGAAGAGGCGGACGTGAGGCGTTTACAAGAGACCCCGGCGCTGCCGCGAATTCCCCGTCACCGGGGGATACCTACGATGCATTTTTCGGGGTGGGGCGGGTACCGGCCACCACGGGTCGAGCACGAGATAGCTACGCCTTCGCGACTTTCCTGTCGCTGGGGGATCCCTACGGATGCACTTTTCAAGGGGGGGCGACAATCGGCCGCGACGCGTCGCGAGACGCGATCGGAATCGCGGCGTTTCCGCGACTTCGCCGTCCCCAGGGGATTTTCGGGGAGGAACGAGGGCTGGCCACTTCGCGTTCAGACGAGACGTCGGCGTCTCCGGGACTTCCCCGTCGCCATGGGATTCTTGAGAATGCACCTCTCATGGAGGAAGGATTATCCGCCGTAACGCGTCGGACGATGCAATAGAGATCGCGGTGCTTCCGGGTCTTTGAAGTCCTCGGGGGATTCCTGCGATGCAGTTTTCGGGGAGGAACGAGTACCGGCCACTAGGCGAGGCAACGAAGTGACGGCGCCTCCGCGACTTCGCCGGGGGATTCCGGGATGGACTTTCCAAGAAGGGGCGATTATCGGCCGTGCGTCGGGTTACGTGACGGAAATCGCGATGCCTCCGCGACTTCGCCGTCACCGGGGAATTCCTACGATTGCGTTTCTCTTTCGAGGAGGAACGACCACCGGCTGACGAGATCGAGGTGGCGGCACCTCTTTGGGCTCGGCTTCGGGGACGTCACCGGATGCGCGGCCGGCAGCTTCTGCTCGAGGTCAAGAATCCCCCGGGTACCGGGAAGGAGGCCGCGCCGGCGGTAATCGGATCCCTGGTAATCTAAAAACCGCGGCTCCAAATGGCTCGGGACGCGCCCGCCCAATTACATCGTGTCGGAGGTGGACGCGCAATTGCGCGGCAACGAGCACTCTCCTTTTTTTTTTTTATTTTCCCCTCTCCCGCTCCACGCCCCTGTTAACCGTCGGCAACGGTAGTCCCTTCGGCGGCCGAGGCAACGACCTCGCGCGCCGCGGCGCGGAGAGGTCGAGGATACGACCACCGAGGGAGGAGCGCCGGAGTCCCGCTCGAACTCGCTCGCAGCTGCGAGTTCGGCCGGACGTGGAAGAGGAGCCGGTTACGCGATTATATGCACCTCCGGGAACAAAGCAACCGGCGAGCGTCTCGACGCCCTGACCAAGGTCGGGCATCGACTGCACCCGGGAAATGCACGTCCATGTAATCCCACGACGATGTACTACCCCGCGAAAAGAAGAACCATCGAATCAAAAATATACCCCGTCAATTCCAAGAGTAATAATCTGACGAAAATAAATTCCCACCATTCCGAACAGAACGTTGCGTCCAATTTATCCGAGCTCATTTCCGTCGAATTCCTTTAATTGAAAATATATTACTTCGGTGCCGTTCGAAGGGATATTTTCCTCCCACTATCCACGGAAATGTCTCCCCCGGTACGATGAATATTTCTCCCTTTCTCGGTGGAATGTAGAGGATGCAAGTTCCTATTCCACGGCACCCCGGGATGGTAATTGCGCGCCGACGAAGGTCGCCGACGATCGATATCGAGATGGCGATCGAGGGGGGTCAGGCACGCGGCGAAGCGGGAGAGCGAGCCGCGCTAAAAGCCGCATCCGCGATGGAGAACGAGAACCGGGATACGGGAGAAAGAAAAGCCGGTCACGCGATTACGTCGCCGGGGAACAAAAGGAGCGCGAAATACCTCCACTCGGCGGTAGCACCCGAGAGAGAAAGAGAGCACGTGGCGGAAGCAGCGCGCGAGGCCGCACGACCGCGTTCTCGCGTTTCCGGCCCTCCCCGGGATTTCGGGCGACCCGACTAGGTATATCGGTTTCCTCCCCCTCGCAAAACCGACCCGGAAGAGCCGTCCCGCTCCTCCATTTCCCCCGAAAAACCGAGACATCGGTCCTCGACGACCGCTCGGCGACCCCGCCGCGCCGCTGCGTTTCCGCCTCTCTCGACTTTCTCTTAAGGATTTCGAAAGTGCCCTCGGAGATTCGACGTCTCGCCGATATTTCGCGAAATACGTCGTTCGCGATTTCGCCAGGAGGCCCCTCCTCCCGAAAATGGCGTCACCACATCTCTAAACATGCAAATCGGACGAGAGAACCGAAATGACGTAACATTCCCGCAGTTTTCGTCATTCCCTATTAATCCCGTGAAACCTTCAGATTTTAACACCTTTTCTCGAGAAAAGAAAAAAAAAAGAAAAACCACATCCGCAGTCAGGGATCTTC